GAGCTTTGCGTTCCATTCTAGGAAATTAGACGTTTGCCCATACACATCGGACAGCTTGCTCTGCACGGTCCTTGACCATAACCTTTTTCATAAGCGTGGTTAATTCTTCAAACGCAGCTGTGATCAACCCTGTTTGTTGTCAAAATGGCAGTAACTCACCATCTGTGTTTCAGAGCTCGAAAATGTTCGTTGGAAATGGACTAAACTTAATTGCATTATTGGTGTCTGTTTTGGCCAATAAAGGGGGCTAATCCTAAGAATACTGCAGGTGAGTTTGAGAAAATCTCCCATAACCAAAAAGGTCTTCCCCTGCTCAGTGAAAAGTCCGCAAGAATTTCTCACCCAGAATTCCTCTCACTGCACTGAAAAGTCGGGGCCTCCCGAGGCACACCTTTATCCTGTGATGTACGCCAGATTTATTTTCTGGCTTTTTCAGACTAGAATTAATCCTGGACCACCAGTGGTAGATTCAAATCAAAGCATTCACGGAAACAACTCGGGGTTGAACCTCCTGTGGTGTGATGAAGATAACACGGGGTAGCTGCCCTCCCAAACAATGGGATCTTTCCAATGAAGGCACTTTTTTGGAAAGATTTTCTAAGCTTGTGGATTAATGATCCTTTTTAAAAAATATTTATTTATTTATTTATTTATTTATTTATTTATTTATTTATTTATTTTGAGAGAGAGAGAGAGGACACAAGTAAGGGAGGGGCAGAGGGGGAGAGAGAGAGAGCGAGAGCGAGCGAGAGAGAGAGAGAGAGAGAGAGAGAGAGAATCCCAAGCAGGCTCCGCACTGCCAGTGCAGAGCCCAATGTGGGGCTTGATCCCACACACTGTGGGAGCATGACCAGAGCCCAAACCAAGAGTCAGACCCTTAACTGACTGAACCACCCAGTTGCCCTGGATTAATGATTCTTCAGGCACTTCTTCCAAATGGACGATTTATACCCACGTTAGAACAAGAGGTAATCTGGCATCCCACACAGGTAACAATATTCTGCGATCAGTTGAGGTGGTTGGGTAGGATCAATTTCAATGTCAAAATTTATACTGACAATGGCACCATGCCATCTGGAATCTGGTGATGAAGCAAAGCAAAATAATCATGATGATCATGATAAACCTAACGATAACAGAGGTGAGGCAGGTGCACATTCACTTCCTCCACTTACTATGTGGGTCCCTGCCGTAGGTCACTTAACCTTCCTTAACTCTTTTCTTGTCCGTAAAATTAGGGATGCTAATAACTGCCCATACGATATGTGTGAAAATTGAATCCAATGATATCTTTGGCATGGAGGGCTTTCCCATCAATTCATTACTTACCTTCTCTTCCTATCCTGGGACATGGTATTGAATAAGACAACAACAACAAAAAATTATAGAAATGTGACTGGCGTATGCATTAAAATAGAAAATCAACATGAGCAAAAACATGGATTGTTTCCCTTACAGATTTTTCTTGAAGATTCTTAAAGATCTAAATCTGTGTCCTTCTGTGCACAAGAGGGAGTTGGGAGAGAGGGAAGCAAAGAAAAGATGCCAGAGAAAGCAGTGACATCAGTCTGTCCTGAATGGACTCTGAATGGGTAAGGAACTACACGGGAAAAACAATGAATAAGTATTTACTGAGCATGTATTACGTCCCGTATTCTCAAAGAACACTGCCTAGTAGGAAGACATAAATATGACCAAGTTGTAAACCATGCTCAGGACACACAACAGGAGTGATTAACTATTAAAGTGTGTGGAAGCGGGGAAGGGTGCTTCAGGGACAGGAAACGTTGCTGGAGCTGGAGCTCAAATACAGGCAGGTCTCCCTGGGTGAGAGGCTGGAGAAGCAGGGAGGGGGGTGCGTGACGCTGAAGCACACGAACTCTGTGCTCCTTTGCGGCTGTGCTGTGTCTAGTGCTCAGCCCATCATCCTTCTCATGCCTCATCCAAGATCCTCTCTTCACCTCCCGACACCCTGCACCCGGCGCCTCCCCACGCTTCGCATAAGGAGTACCTGGAGAGCAGGGAAGCTGTCGTTCACGTTCTCTTCTATGTATCCAGCCCTAGTAAAGCCTAGTAGGGCCTCACTGAATGTCTAAGGAGTGAAAGGGAGATACTGCTACTGACATCCTACTACGTGCCTTCTGCCCACAACACTTTAGTCTTCCTCTTCCCTGGTGAATTCACACACCTGGCAGATCTCGGCTCCCCAGTGACTTCTGCAGAGGCCGCCTCCCCACTCTACATCTCACCGCACAGCGTGCTCCTTTGCAACGCTGGTCACAGCTGCAATTTGCCATTTGCCTGCACGATTATTTGATGATACGAAAGGGAAGTACCCAAGATGGCAGAGCATACCTGTGTCTGTATTTGATCACCAGTGTAGTCCGCACTTAACACAATGCCAAAAGCAAGGCAGAGACCCAGTAAACAGAGTTTGAATAAGTAAGCTAATGGAATAAAGGAGAAAGAAAGTTAAGAAAGAAGGGAAGTGGGGCACCTTGTTGCCTCAGTCAGAAGAGCGTGTGACTCTTGATCTCGGGGTTGTGAGTGTGAGCCGTCATGTGCGGTGTGGAGACGACTTAAATAAAACTTAAAAGAAAAAAAGAAAGAAGGGAGGGAAGAAGGGAGCAGGAAAGAAGAGGAGAGAGGAGAGACTGGTTGTGGGATCCGTGCGTGGCCAGGTGGTCAGCCAAGGGTATTCTTAGGTCTTATCCTGCTACGCGTTAGCAAAGAGTTTTAAGCCAGTGATTTAGGAAAAGTGCAAAGGACAAACCAGAAGGTAGGAAGGTTGAAAGCAAGCAGGGAGTCCGTATTCTGGAAAGAGAAGGCAGAGGCCTCAGCCAGGCAGTAGCTGTGTGACGAATGTGTAGAGTGGGTATTTAGAGGGTACGATCAATAGGACTAGATAATGCCACCAATGTGTACCAACAGCTTCATTCCAGGGAGGCCAGCCATCTAGATGGCTAGGTGGTTTCACAGCCATCTAGCATCTGGGCTTCAGCAGAACACCAATATCATAAAATAAAAAGTCTGTATTGAGTACAAGCACTGTGTTTAATGGCCAGAAACTAGAAGACAGAATTCAATATGACAGTTTGATACTATGCACATTGAAGTGTTAAAAAAAAATTTTTTTTTTAATGATTTTATTTATTTCTAGGAGAGAGAGAGAGAGACAGCATGAGCAGGAGAGGGTCAGAGAGAGGGAGTCACAGACTGAAACAGGCTCCAGGCTCCGAGCTGGCAGTCAGCACAGAGCCCGACGCGGGGCTCGAACCCACGAACTGCGAGATCATGACCTAAGCGAAAGTCGGACGCTTAACCGACTAAGCCACCCAGGCGCCCCTGAAGTGTTTTATACTACAACCCCAACTCCATGAGACACCCTTCTAGCAGATTATACAGTAAGAAGAGTAAAGTAGACATTGTTTGGTCCTGGAAGCCAGCTGAGTGATAGCAAATGTTCCTAGTGCCTCTGGGGCAGCCATTTTGAGTGCAGAGTGGGCTGTGGACTAGCTACATTCACCTTGATATGGTGAAAGATACAAAAAAGCCAACTTTGAGATTAAAAATAGAGAATTAACGCACTCACAGAAAAAATGTGTAGCTTTATTCTTTCCATAGATAAAATAAAAATGGAAAGATGGCATATGTTTAAGTCTATGGTTTTCTTCTAGTAAGGCAATGTCACTGCATTGCAAGAAAATATTCACTAGTCCTACTGAACACTGTGTATTTATTCAGGTCAACAAGCATTTTAGATATGTTATTCCTATTACAATCACCTATATATGCTTGCTACTTCTCACAACCTTATACATTAGCCTAAAATGCTGCCTTCTTGTTATAGAAAACTAATTACCGTGCATGATTTCCATTCCATTGTGGAACATAGCGTACACTTCATTAAACTGTCCTATAATGGAGGGTGTGCTGGCCATGTTTGGTAGAGTCAGAATATGCAGTTAACATTTCAAATTTATCTTAACAAAATGGAAAAATGTTCAATGATATAAAGTATGAAATACATTAGGGATGAGTACTGAATACTGAGTAACCTTTGTAATGTCCTAAATCATAAAACAATTAAAATTAAATTATATTCTTGTTGGTGATATTTATTGTTAGTAAACAATTATGGCTAGGTAGGTTTGAGTTTTAGAATGAGTGACGTATGTCACAGAAGTGACAGTTAATGCACATTTACATCTCATCATGACATCTGGAATGCAGACACACCTCCTACTCTATCCAAATCCTGTTTGAAAATATCTTTTCTTTTTTAAGGTTTATTCATTTAAAAAAAAATTTTTTTTTTATGTTTTATTTATTTCTGAGAGAGAGAGACAGCGTGAGCAGTGAAGGGTCAGAGAGAGAGGGAGATACAGAATCTGAAACAGGCTCCAGGCTCTGAGCTGCCAGCACAGAGCCCGACGCGGGGCTCGAACCCACGAACCGTGAGATCATGACCTGAGCCGAAGTCAGACGCTTAACCGACTAAGCCACCCAGGCGCCCCAATGTTTATTCATTTTTGAGAGACAGAGAGAGAGAGAGAGAGCATGAGCAGGGGAGGGGAACAGAGAGAAAGGGAGATACACAGGACCCGAAGCAGGTTCCAGGCTCTGAGCTGTCAGCACAGAGCCCAACAGAGGGCTCCAACTCATGAACCAGGAGATCATGACCTCCGCCGATGTGAGCCGCTTAAGCGACTGAACCACCCAGGCACCCCTATCCAAATCATATTGGAACTTGAGTTCAGTTACATGGTGTGTTGGACTATGTGTCTTCTCACACTTACAGTTATGTTGCTTTGCTGTCTTTGTGAATATTCACAGAGTCATTTTTTTTCCCACAGATAATGGTCTCTGGACAGAATACAATACGTAAAGGCTAGAACAGCAATGCTCCATCATATCCAAGGCAACAACTTATTTCATTAATCTTCTGATAGTAATTCTGTAGCATTTATTACAAAAGACATGATAAAAATAAGACTTACCACCACAATATATCGAGGTCTGTACTGAATGGTTCCAAACAAACCCAATATGACGACTATTATATGTAGAAAATTTCCAAGAATTGGTGCCCACTGGAAGCCAAGGAAGTCAAAGATTTGCCTCTCTAATGCCGAGAGCTAAAATAAAGCAAAGAGAGTCCATTAGCTTCTAACCCAAGCATAATCACACCATTTTAATATGTATTTCACAGCTAGAAAAGTCTGCAAATTTGATTTCAATCACACTTATGGACATCATCGTCACTAAAGTTGTGACACCCATTTCACATCCTGCTTTATGCAACTTCTCTCAGAAAATATAATGAGATAATTTTGAGGATTATGACTTTAAGTATCAATAGAGTTTAAGCCTATCTGGAGAGCTCAACATATACTCCTTAAATCATTTTCTGTAATAGAAAATCCAGGCAAATATTTTAGAATATCAATTCTATGATATTAATTTCTAATTTTTTTAGGTAAAATGATTGGCTTTGTGTAACACGTCTGGAAAAATAACTACAGGCTTCAATGCTAGAACTGGTATGATTTTAGGGAAAAAATATAAAACTCAAAGTCTCCTACTCATTCCTGCCCTCCTTTAAGAAACATAAAGTACCAAATCTGTTTGCTTTCTTTGCTTTCATTAGTCTGTCATTGATGATAATGACTAACCACTTTTTTTTCAAAATGAAGCTTACATGTTGGGGAGAGGGAGGGAGGCAAACCATGAGAGACTCTTGAATGCTGAGAACAAACTGAGGGCTGATGGGGGTGGGGGGGAGGGAAGGGGGTGATGGGCATGGAGGAGGGCACTTGTGGGGATGAGCACTGGGTGTTCTATGGAAACCAACTTGACAATAAACTAAGAATAAAAAACAAACAAAGAAAAACAAATGAAGTTTACTGATTTATTTAGCTCTGGGCTCAAGACTCCCATGTAAAACTAAGTTAAATAATTCCTTTGAAACATGTTTTATTGCCATCATATACCTACGTGGAAATTCATCTTAGGTTAGGGAAAGTCCTTTTTGAATAAGGAAATGAAAATTACGAGAACATTATAATTGTAGACATGCCACGGTTTATTATATCTGCATTACACACATTACATTCTTAACAATTACACAATGCTATAAAATATACACTGAAATAATTTGTGTATGATTGATTAAACAGATGAATTTCATATAGTCTACTGAATGCCAAAAATGTCATTATCATATCAAAATGATATTTATTGTATTCTATACCTAAAAATTTTATTGTTCCACCTGCTGTATTTGAACACTAATTTTATACATTTCAGGCATTTTTCTAGTTTTACTTTGATAAGATAATAATTCTAATAAAATGATCCAATGATTAACTATGTTGATGGCACTAGAAACCACCGATTTGAACTCAAAATGGTACCCTAGGTATTTTTCTAGTTATGTGGCAGGTGTATGCCTGAATAGCTTTAATTTCCTTGGACATAAAGAATTGTCCTCCATCCAGTAAGCTGAATTTACCTTGGTTAAAATTCACCTTCAGCAGGCTGTGGAGGAGAAGAGAAAGGAGCAAATGCCTAAAGACAACCACACCAGAACCACATTCATTTCACGGGTATTTCCTGATCATCAAGTGATCTGTCACCATCCCCTGCTCTCATGAATGGGAAGATGCACAGAAATGGCTAAAACACAAAATAATCAGAGCAAGGTAAAAAGTAGCACTGTGTTTTTTTAATCCCCTGTTTGTCTGTTTGTGACTCTAATTAGTTCCCTGAAACCTTCCTCTAAAAATGCAGCACTTTATTTATTGGCCCATCAGTGATGTAAATATGCAGTTTTTTTTTAATGTCCAAACAGGATGGATGTGCTCAGATAAAAAAGAAACCCTGAAGAGCAGCTGCAGGCAATTTATTCTGAAAAGCAACCCTATTTTAAAGCTGTCGTGCATCACAAAAAACCTTTAAAGTGAACTTTTCAAACAGAGAAAAATCCATTTTCTTTTCTGTCAGAAGATGCATGGATAGCATTCTCTTTTACGATATTAAAGAAAACACGTATAATGAAGGAGAAGCCGTATTAACACCACTTATTAGAAAATCCACACTTAAATATTAGAAAATCTGCATTCTTTAGTGGTGACACTGTATCTATTAGTATTTATTTTTGGATAACTTACTTAAAAACGGATTTATTGTGGCTTGAAATAGGAGCACAAATAAAAGGTCATGGGAAAAAAAACCTAAACGGGGAGGGGATCACATCAAGGATTAAAAGAGAGGCAGCTGTAACAGCCCTACAAACACACAAAACTAAGTTTCAGCAGCTGACCATTGAAGGACAGGATTTGAAATGCACAAGTGTTTCTATGGGGATTCTATTTGATAAGTACACTATTGTATACTTAGTGTATACATAGTGTATAATTACACCATGGTACTGTAAATGTATTTTTTCTTATGATTCTCTTAAAGCGATTTTCTTTTTCTAGGGTACATAAAACATACCTGATATGTGCTGACTGGTTGTTTATGTTATTGTAAGGATTCCAGTCAAAATTAGGCTATTGGTAGTTGAATTCTGGGGAGTCAAAAGTTGTATTTGGATTTTTTCAGCTGTGTGGGGGGGTTGGTGTTCATGACCCTTCTGTTGGATCAACTGTGTTGTATTTTAAAAAGTCAACTAACGGGGGTGCCTGGGTGGCTCAGTTGGTTGAGTGTCTGATTTTGGCTTAAGTCATGATCTTATGATTCATGGATTCAAGCCCAGTGTTGGGCTCTGTGCTGACAGCTCAGAGCCTGGAGCCTGCTTCAAACTTTGTGTCTCCCTCTCTCTCTGCCCCTCCTTGGCTCCTGCTATGTCTCTCTCTCTCAAAAATAAATAAACATTAAACTAATTTTAAAAATTAAAAAATAAAAAGTCCACTAACAACAAAGAGCCTTTCAAAAGTAAACAAAACCCCACCACTGCATTTTTTGCTTCATTATTTTATCTAATCTCCATGTTAAGCTATTTTGTCATTTAGTTTATAGGCAACTATCTTCTCTCTAAATGTCATAATCTCTAGAGGCACCACTTATTGCCCGAGAGCTTGACATTAATAATAATGACCCAGGGCCACTAAATGAAATTAAATGCGATCCAGGTTGCTTTGTTAGCTCAGAATATGGATTTATTACAGAGATGTCTCTGTCAAAACGGTACTCATCAATGGAGCAGGCCTGGGAGTTCAGATTGGGTGCATCTCTTCCCAAATGCATGGTCAGTGACCTCAAGTTGGGAAGCTGACACCAAGCATGTTGGCAATACATACAACATTGGGAAATGCTACAAATCAGGGTTTGGTTTGCTATGAGAATCCACTGTTAATTATTACCTGCACACCACTGAATACGACACCTAGAAAACAGTGGTTCTGATTCAGAAAGTCACTGAAAGGAAGTGATCAACTAAGTGTTCAGTGTAGCACAAAAGGAAAGCGCCCAGCCCGGATGAGTACTGAAGAGTGGAAGGCTCAAAGAGGGTATCTGCAGAGACGCCACTACAAAGAAGAAGAGAATGATTGAGACATTTGAAGAAATTGAGGTTTAAATAAAAGTAGAGAATTCAAGAAGATATAAAGGCAGTAAGACACTCCAGAGAGAGCAAAAACCAACCAGTCGCCAGTTTACAACAATCGGGGGGCATCTGGGTGGCTTAGCTGGTTAAACATCTGACTTCAGCTCAGGTCATGATTTCATGGTTTGTGAGTCTGAGCCCTACATCAGGCTCTGTGCTGACAGCTCAGAGACTGGAGCCTGCTTCAGACAGATTCTGCGTCTCCTTCTCTCTCTCTGCCCCTCCCCTGCTCGCGCTCTGTCTCTCTCTCTCAAAAATAAATGAACATTAAAAAAAATTAAAACAACTGGAAGCAGGAGGAGAGGCCAAGATGGCGGAACAGCATGGATAATATTTTGATATTTTTGCATCTCCCATCCCTGAAATAAAGCCAGATGAACATTAAACCATCCTGCACACCCAGGAAGCTGATTTGAGGATGAACACAATAGTCTGCACAACCTGAACCACAGAACTCGGCAGGTATGTGGTGCAGACAGGTGAACTGGGGTAGAGAGAAGCCGCAGAGGGCAGGGAGCTGTTTTTGCTTGTGGAGAGAGGACAGAGATGGGGAGATAGTATAGGAAAGCATGACCCCCACCTGCAAGTAGCGGAGCGAAAAGAGGGAGTACGCAAGGGACTGAACAAAAAATGGGACGGGGGGAAAGGAGAGGTTTTAAATTCTATTAAGGCTCTATAAATGGGGAGCACAGAGTCTGAAGCCTCACAGCTTGACACCTGGCGGTGCTCTGGTGGGAAGGGCGAGTCCCCAGGGGCAGAGAGCGAGGTGCTCAGGGTCCTTGGGCCACACAGGGAGAGGCAGTTCCCCTGCGGGGAGGACATTTGTTAGAGGCTGTGTGGCCTCCTCACAGGGAAAGGTCCCAGTGGACTCTGGAGAACCATATTTGCCAGTGTTGGAATAAGGACACTAAGTGGGAAGCCTGGTGCCAGATGTGTGTTGTGATTTACAAAATCCCTGAAATGCTGCTACATGATCGTGTGAACTTTTTCTGGGTGGGCTGGCACCCAGCTGCATTGTCTGGGCGTTGGCAGCAGCACCATCCTGGGAACATTCCTGGGGATGGGCGGGCATCTGACCATTGCTCATTGAGACTCTCCCCCAGAGAGTCAGAATGCATTAAAGTCATGGTCCCCCTCAGAAGTGAGGGTCGGGAGACACAGCCGCATCGGAGGTAAAACTCAGGAGGGAGATGCTGCCTGGCAACCTTACGACTTGATCACAGAGAGTGTAAAAGCAGGGAGTGGACAGAAGCCAGAGACGAAGGAGGGGCGGGCGATTGCTCGTCAGGGAAAGCACAGACTTCTGATACTAGAGACTGGGTAGCTGGGTGACACCATTTTTACCCCACCGATGCATGCACATACACACCTACATGTGCCACAACAATCCACCGCAGTAAGCTCGGCAGCGCCATCTAATGGAGAACGGAGCTGTTACACTAAGCCCTGCCCAACTGGGCCAACCTTACTTTTCAGGAACACAAGTCTCTCCACCTGCTTAGTTTACAGACTAAAAAGTGCTTCATAGTTTGACTTCTACAGGAAACATGTAACTTCAATCGAATATATATATATAAAATCAAATATATATATATATATAAACTACCAAAACTGAAACAGGAAGAAATAGAAAATTTGAACAGACCCATAGCCAGTAAAGATTTTGAATTAGTAATCAAAAATCTCTCCCCAAAAACAGGAGTCCAGGGCCAGATGGCTTTCCAGGGGAATTCTACCAAACATTAAAAGAAGAGTTAACACCTATTCTCTTGAAACTGTTCCAAATAATAGAAATGGAAGGAAAACTTCCAAACTCTTTCTATGAAGCCAGCATTACCCTGATTTCAAAACCAGACAAATACCCCACTAAAAAGGAGAACTATAGACCAATTTCCCTGACGAACATGGGTGAAAAATCCTCAACATGATAGTAGCCAACTGGATCCAACAATACATTAAAAAAAAGTATTCACAATGACTAAGTGGGATTTTTGCCTAGGATGCAGGGATGGTTCAATATCTCGAAAACAATCAATGTGATACATCACATTAATAAGTGAAAGGACAAGAACCACATGATCCTCTCAATAGATGCAGAGAAAGCATTTGACAAAATGCTGCATCCTTTCTTGATAAAAACCTTTATGAAAGTAAGGATAGAAGGACCATATCTCAAGATCATTAAAGCCATATATGGTAGACCTACCACTAATATTATCCTCAATGGGGAAAAACAGAGACCTTGTTCCCCTAAGGTCAGGAACAAGACAGGGATGTCCACTCTCTCCACTGTTATTCAATATAGTATTGGAAGTCTTAGCCTCAGCAATCAGACAACACAAAGAAATAAAAGGCATCCAAATTGGCTAGGAGGAGGTCAAACCTTTCACTCTTCACA